CATAAATATTCTTTATGCTCATTTGTATTCATAATTATCCCTTTTACATCAGGAGCATGAACTTGAGGATGAAGATGTGGTGCAAATTATCAAGAAGGTATAATTTCAGACAGCCAAGATTTTTTCAATCGTCCATGTTTGTTGATGCCTATCGAGCTGTCGCGGGAATGATATTTTCCAGTTCGATGGCAATGTTCCCAGAGATGAAATTAGGCAGAAGATGAGCAGCTTGATGTGTAATTAAGGCATTTTGTGGTCAGGCCCTGTTCTATTCACTTGCTCATTACATAATTCAGTCTCTTATAACTCTGTTCTGTTTTGGCACCTTAAACAACATTTCACGTAGGACTGGACAGAAGAATTTGGGTATCTCTTGGAGTGCATATGATTCTCTAATTGATGTTGAGTCGTCAGATCTCAAATCTATGGTTGCGAGATTTATATTCAAATAGCGTCATTTATTTAATTATGTGCTCAAGATAGGGAGAGAATAAGAAGTATCAAAATTGTGTTTTTCAGTGTGGATTGTATAAAAAGGATGCAATTATTGTATTTAAGTACTTTTAGAGTATGTTTGGGTTGTGGGAAGGGAGGGGAGGGAAAAAAAAAATTATTTAGTTATTAAAAAATTAGAGGGAAGGTGGGGAAATTTATATTTTAATCTTTAAAATTTAATTACTTGCCCAAATAAGATTCAAATGAGAAGAAGGGAAGAAAGGAGAATAAAATAATATCATTTTCTTCTCTTCCCTTCCTTTCTTCTTTATTTTTATAATTCAAACATAGGAATAATAAATTTAGTTCCATATGTTATTAGGATTATTAACAATTTTAATATTTATATCGCTTTTTTTTTTTTAATGCGGTTTGAAATGCATTTTTTAATATTTTTTCGAGCACGAAAATTTGGGGAAAAGGGAGATATTGCAGAGCCAGGGTCATCCTTGTAACTTAAACCATGATTGGAACCATGGCATTATGGGTGCACTGCCAACGCGGCTACTGCTGCAAGTGTCGAACTGAAAACCATCGGACTCAAGAAGTAAAATAATTCTCATGAAAAAAACTTTCAAGTTTTTCGATTTGTGGGAGGAGATACACATAGGGACTGAAAATTCAAAACCTAATAAATCTTCAGAAGCATTCAACAGTCTGAAATTTCAAAGCTACAACATTCATTGACCTTCTCCAATAAGTTCCATTAAGAAAACATAAATTCCCATGGATTTCTAATGGCCCCAACAAGAGAATCAATCATCACATATTTCACAGATGCATCATCTATTCATCATTTGCTTTCTCTCTAAAAAAAACAAAGGGGGTGAAGGGGTTAAAAAAAGATGAGAAAAAGAAAAGCAAAAGAAAGGACTCTTGGCGATACAGTATATCACTACGAGTAGCATTAAGAACATTGTTGGGCTGAAAGTCATAGAAGCTTCTCAGGCTTTCACACAACAGTTGAAGTAGCTGAAAAAGCTCCTCCTCACCTATAAAATAAAAGAAAGATTGGTAAGAAGGCAATGAAGCAAACTCAACATGGATTACCTAAGAATTACTGCATTGAAAAAAAACAAACAAACAAACAAACCAGAAGACTTTTCAGGAATTTTAGTGAATAAAAAACAATCCAGAAGGCTTCAACTCAAGATTTGTCAAGTTCCAAAAAAAAAAACTAGAAACGAAATTTCAAGGCATCATCTTGTTGCGCGTAAATCATATTAAAAAAATAAATATATACAGCAGAAGGAATAAAAACATTTCCAGTCGGAAGAATGGGTCAAACTACACGGTCACACTCAACCAACATGTATTAATACGGACAAATAACATCCGTCGTATGTGCACCACTTGGTCCTCACGCGTGACTTGGGAATAGTACGGATGGATCGTGCATCCTGGGTTATAGCTAAAAAGAGTTCTTAACTCTTGGGGCACACATTCCTAACATGAATCCTTAGACAAAAACCTTACAGAATTTTGGAAGTATGAAATTCAACCTTGGTATGCAGCTTATATGGTTACTATGTAGGTTTTTCACCCACACCACTAGAATTTGAGTCTTTTTACCTTATTTCCCCTTCCTTTTAACCCCAATTTCCTTTGTTAAAAAAAAAAAGAAAAAGGAAGCATGAAATTGAATTATTTTGATGCCATCTTAAGTTTATCAAACTATATGCAACACCAAACAAAATATCTATGACACGTCAAAGGTGTTAACCCCCATCCCCACTGCCCCATCACATGGGTGCTACATTTATTTGTATTCTTCTTTCCCACCAAGTACCAAGGGGACACCAACCAAAAGCTATAAAATGCATATTAAATTCATCACCTATAACAAGAAATGAGTTAACAGAGTACTACAGTACAGGGGTAGCGAAAGAATCTTACTGTTGGAGGGTGATGGTTCTGAGGATAACCATGGTGATGGTTCTGAGGATAACCATGGTGATGGTTCTGAGGATAACCATGGTGATGGTTCTGAGGATAACCATGGTGATAATTGCTAGGAGCGGTGGTGCTTGCAGTGTTGGTGCTTGCGGTGGTGGCAGCTGGGTTAATGAGCTCCTCTTCATTTCCAAGACTCGCTCTTAACAAATCCTTCTTGTTCTGCTTCCTCATTTCCCTGATTTTTGAGAAATCAAGAGAGTAATCTGGCAACTGCCCCTTTTGATCCCAATCCCCAAACTGTGGCACTGATAGCCGTGGAGCATTTTTCTATATATAAACACATAACACGTCCACTCACTAAACTATAAAACCGGATGTATAAAGTCTTAATACTAAATTATTCACATTCCAGGATATAACAAGAACAACCATCCGCAATAATAAATTGTGACAACAACTAAAAAATACCAAATACATGTGACAGGGGCCGTATATAACCCCACTGGTTGAGACCGGACCACAGCAAAATCCATGTAACATAATTATTTCGTTGAATGTCTTAAGAAAAAAAAAAGGGCAATTCCACCATTTGAGGAGAAAAATGAAGTACAAAAACCCAAACTCTAGTTTATGCTTAAAAAAAAGGATATTTTAGTTTTTTTTAATAAAAAATTTATTAAAACATGTAATTTTAAAATAATTTTACACCTAATGTTTAGAAGGTAGATATGAACTATTCTATATACATATACAAATTAAAAACCAAAAGTGAACTTTAAAGGATGGAAGAAAGGCATTCCTAAAGGGAACTTGAAAACTGAAAATCTTTATTTTTCCTAGAGAGCTCTCCCAGCCCTGCTGGTCGCGTGAACCCAGCCTTGATGTTTCACATCTTAAACTGCAACGAGATTTTTAAACCCAAACTCTATACTTGGTAGCCGAGAAACCGCAAGAAAACTATAAATAACAAACAACAGCAAAATTCCGTTCCAAATCTTTGTGGACTTAACTACTTGCTAACTGCTGAATCTCCATTTTTACATAACAAGAAAAAACAGCATAAGAAGACAGAGAAAGTCGGAAAGGCATTCATTTCAGTCACCAACCAAACAACCAATACCTCCAGAGAACAGAGAAGAAAGCAAGAGAAGTGGACTCACCTGATCCTTGCGATCCTCCATGCTTCTGATTGAACAACAGAGACTTCCGGCGGCGAGAAAATACGCAACTATCCAAACGGAAAAGAAAGGCTATAAGGAAGAAGGGAAGAAAGAGAGGTGATTTTACTTTGACGAGTATTTTTTTGCAGGAAAAGAAGAGGAAGACTAGAATTAGCACAGGGCAACAACAGCAACGAGAAAAATATGATTCACAATCTTCTTTATAGACGCTTTAATGGACAAGGACAACGGTATCTTATTTTTTTGATATTAGGAAAGGGTCAAAGCTCAAATCCTTGGCAGGAACGCGGAGGCATTTGAAAAGGTAAAATATTATTTTTTAGGTTATAATATTAATTTGGTTTCTTCATTTCTAAATGTATATTGAAATAGTCTTTCAATTTAAAAAAATAGTAAAATCATTCTTGAATTTTAATATTTAGTACTAAAATAATCCTTGAATTTTGAAGACAACTACCAACTTAGTTTTTGAACTTAAAGACAAATATTAATTTAGTCTTCAAACTTTGATTTCTAATATCAAATTGGTTTTTTTAATTTTTATTATCTTAATTTGATATATAATTAGAAATATACTATGAAAGTAAAATATGATTGTTTGATTTTATAAATCATTAGTATTTTAAAAGAAATTGATTTTGTAATAAGACAACAACTTACATGACATTTTGTTAGCAAAAAGATTATTTTGATATTGAAAATTCAAATTTAATTTTCAATATTAGCATTTTTTGAAGTTAAAAGATAATTTTGATACAAATTTAAAAGTTGAGGGACTAAATTAATCTTTTAACTTATTTTTTTTATCATATAATAAATCATTAGATTAGATGTATTAAAAAAATTATAACGAAAAAGAGCCTCTCGCTCTGGGAAAGGTTTTCCTACGTTCTTTTTATTATGGGGCGAGTTGTAATCTTGATTTCAAAGAAGCAAGGTGCATAATGTATCATGTATGCTATATACATAACATGCAGCTGATTTAGTATTATAATTATTTTTCAATTAAAAATTAAATATAATATAATATAA